GAAGCCACGACCGCGTGGCAGCAGGGCAAATGGCCGCGGATCCGGTTCATAGCTCGAGGCGGAGTTCACATGTCGAGGGAAATTTTTGGGGCCGGTGCTGGTCGTATCTTGAATGCTTCGTAAGGAGGGGCATTCGTAACTAGAGGTACCACTGTATATGGCTGTCCACCTCAAATGCATGCCTTGGGGTGGCTAACAATGCTTAAAACAAGATAAAAATAAAATTATAAATAACATATATAGCAGCCAAGAAAAATCAACCAACAGCAACAATTATAACCATGATATGGGCTCAACCATACATCCAGGGCCTCAGGCTTGATGACAAAACCTTTCTTCAAGGCTTTATGAAAGGGCAGCAGGGTCTGATTTCTGGGGGAAATGACATTCCAAAGGACAGGTACCACAACATAAAAGGCTTTCTTCCTGGTCCCACCAGATGACACTCCCTGATAGACGGGACCTGGAGCATACCTTTCTTGTATGATGTATCAGAACAGGTAGATTCAACTGGGGAGAGATGGTCCCACAAGTAACCCAGCCCCAAGCCTAAAAATCTTTTAGGACCTTTCATTTATTCTAATATGAATATTTATACTTTAGCTACCATATGTCAGTGTTTCATTTTGACCCAACTAAAATAAATGTGAACAAAGAGGAGAGAAAAACAGTAGCAAAACAGGAGGGTATTGAATCAATTTGTGGAAAAGTACCATTTCAGTTAATATCATATATGCATTCCACCTTTCTCTCTCTCACATACACACTTCCAACTAATTCCACTTAATAAATTAAAATAATGATCAAAAGGACAAATTCAAAATAATTTGAGGAAAAAACTAGGATATTCTCAAATATTAAGTATATTCATGTTAAATACTCTGTATATTTTAGCCTTACTCAACTGGTGTTGTATGAGATACTCTGAATTAATGGAAGCTTTTTTATATAAATGAAGAACCAAGCATTAATTTATTCTAATACGAATATTTACACTTCAATTACCATACATCAGTGTTTCATTTTGACCTGATGAACATAAATGGTAAAGGAGGCTCAATAAAAGTCAAATCTTATTTCAACTTATCAGTGATAGGCGCTATTGCTTTATTTTGAGCCAGGGTTGGGCCAGAGAATTGCAGAAATTAGCAGCATTAGGAAAAAAAAAAAAAAGGTAAGATTGTTCAGGGCACTAGGTCCTATCATTCCTAACTTCAAAATCTAGTTATGAAACCTTTCATGCCACTACTCCGTAAATTTAAAAAAGCATGCATTGTGAGTTCAGCATGAAACAAAGATGCAAAGACTGCTCACCCCTATAAAATTATATCAATAATACCCAACTATTTAGCTGTAAATTAATTTGGTTTAGTGGTTAGGTTTGCAGTATTGTATAGAAAGTTTATGCATCACATCAGCAAGTACTTGTTTTAAATTGGTCTAGTTTCTTCCTAATTTAAAATTGTTGATTTAAAAAAACACGTGGCCTCCAAATGCACATGCATCACTTAGAGACTTCAGATATTGCTATCAAAATGTAATTTTTAATGTGACAGCAGCACAAAATTCTTTTTTTTTTTTTTTTTAGTGTGTGACCCAGCATAGCAATCAAAGGCCATGTGAAAACCTCAAACTTGAGAAGTTGTACATTTTGAAATTATATAATCACAATAGCTTTTGGAAAAGCCAAGTTTCAGCAATTACTATATTAACCTGGGAAAGAGCCAGGAATGTTGCCTTTTTAGAATCCATGTCTCCTGCTAAACTTCAAGCAGCAGGAAGATACAGAGCGTGGTCTCCAAACTTGATCTAAAAGGTAAGAGTAGATATTCTTAAAACGCCCTGGCCCAAATCCATTTAACATCTGAAGGTAAGAATCAGTTCTATAAACTGGACTCAAGAATAATGTCAATGAAGATGGAACAATATTTCATATTTTGAAGAATACTTTCATCTAAAATGAAGTTTTCCAACCTGGTGCCCTTCACATGTGTTATGACTACAAACTGTGCTGCCTGAGGATAGTGGGAGTTGAATTCCATAACAGCTGGACAACACAATGTTGAGGAAAGCTGCTTGAAATGAACTTCCATTACTTACCTAATGCTTTCTCCTAAAATTCCATGCAGAAATGTAGCTAAGATCTAAACCAATAATAGTACTGTCATCTTTTTTCTGTTGGAGTAGTGGAACTCCTCTGGAGGTCCTAATCCAATTTCAGAATTGCTTAGTTTCAGAAAGTTCTGTGGATTATTCCACTGAAAAGTTCCATGACTTAAGAAAAAAAACCTAGTATTTTTATTTCTGAATTTGCTGTAATTCTTGAACTAAAAGAAGATTCAATAAATCCACAGAGGATAAATAACTGGCAGTATTATCATTATATGTTACTTTTTTTTTTTTTTTAAACTATCAGAGGCAGTGTGCCCCTCAATGTTAGTTGCTGGGAATGTTAACTGGAAGATGCTGTAGAGCTTTTTCTTGCTTTGACTTAAGTGTCTGGGTGTTCACTGCTGTGGCATAGATAGGCCTTTCATCTGATTACATTTTACCAACCTTTTATTATTGTTGGTCACACAGTCAACCAGATGTTCAGCATTTTTATCCACCTATCATGTCCTTCCCAAGAACCTGGGATAGGCAGAAGTTGTTGTTTGATGGTGTTAAAGGTATCGGCGCAGGAGGTAAGCTGTTCCAAGAAAGCTGCCTTTTGCAATTGACTGATGGTGATTTTGTCAATGCCGCTGGTGTTCAAGTGGTGCTCCAGATGTTTT